CCTCTCCTTTAACTTGGGGAAAATTTCTTCAATGATTTTGTTCAAAATATTTTCTGTGCCTTGGAGAAGGGAGTCTTCTTTTTCCTCTATACCTATTATTCTTAGGTTTTGTCTTTTCATATTGTCTTGGATTTCTTGGACGGGTGTCCTGAGCATTAGACCTGATGATCCCCCCCCCCCCGCTGTGGGGTTTCTTCCTGACAGGGACACGCAGTCTTTGCTTTGGGGACCACTGTTTTGTCTGGGGTGGCGAGTAGAACCTACAGGCACAGACGCCCGCCCGTGGCTCCACCTTTCTGGCCTTTGGGAGCCTGGGTGTCTGCCTAAATTGGGTAATTTTCTCGAGACCTTTTTGGGGTGGTGGTATCGGCTGAGTGCTCTGAGATCAGACCAGCCGTTTCCCTCCCTGTGGGTTTGCACCCAACAGTGAAACTCAGTCTCTGGTGCCCTGGGACCCACAGTTCTATCTGAGGCGTCGAATCAGGCACGCAGGCAGGGCTCTGTGCAGGCACCTGGGTCCCCAGCTCTGGCTCTGGGCTGGCTCCTGGGGCACCCGTTGAACCCGAGTCTTTTCCAGGGGATATCTGGGTGACCTAAGGTCGGTCATAATTGTTTCCTGCTCCGTGGGGTTTTCTCTCGACTGAAAAATCCAGTCTGTGATGTTGTGGGCCCACAGTTCAGTCTGGGACAGTGACCAGATCACGCTGGCGTGTGGCTCTGGGCTGGGGCTGGCGACCAAGCGCCTGGCAGAATGGGGATCTCTTCCAGGGTTTAGTTGGGTGAGTTAAAGCTGATTGAATCCCCCACTGTGGGGTATCCTCTCACCTGGGAAACACAATCACTTGTGTTTTATGGCCCTGAGTTCTGATTGCTGGTCACTGTGCCGATCCTGCTGTGCTGCTGGTTAGAAGGAGAGTTGTCCCAGCGCTGCCATCTTGCCCCGCCCCCGATTCAGTTTTTACATTATTAATGTACATGTGTTTTTGATAGACTAGTTTGGAAGACAGGTTCATGCTTTCTTTTAATGTCTCTGATAAAAATATTTTTATGAATTGTACAGAGTACAGTTTTAGAAAAGTGGTTAGATGAAGAATTTCACAAAATAGTGGGCCTGATTAATAAATAACCTGTGAATGTGATATGTGTCATTTGTGAAACCAGTTAACATTGACCCATGAGATATGATAGTAATCTGCCTGCCTCTAACCCTTGGGCTGTAGAAGGCAGGGAGTGTTCTTGTCAGCTCCCTCTGTTTAGGGCCTCACTAGCTCCAAGTCATGTTTCTCTGCCTATGTGATACTGTTATTTCCAATGATTTGATCTACAAATTGTTTAAAATATGCTTTGAAACAGGTAAAGGTCTAATATCTGCTTATAAGTGAGTATATACCGTGTGTGTCTTTCTGCTTCTGGGATACCTCACTCAGGATGATCTTTTCTAGTTCCATTCATTTGCCTGCAAATTTCATGATTTCCTTGTTTTTAATTGCTGAGTAGTATTCCATTGTGTAAATGTACCACAATTTCTGTATCCATGCCTCAGTTGAGGGACATCTGAGTTGTTTCCAGATTCTAGCTATTACGAATAAAGCTGCTACAAACATGGCTGAGCAAATGTCCTTGCTGTATACTTGAGCATATTTTAGATATATGCTTAGGAGTGGTATAGCTGCATCTTGAGGTAGCACTATTCCTCATTTTCTGAGAAGTGCCAGATTGATTTCCAAAGTGGTTGTACAAGTTTACATTCCTACCAGCAATGGAGGAGGGTTCCCCTTTCTCCACATCCTCTCCAGCATGTGTTGTCACTTGAGTTTTTGATCTTAGCCATTTTGATGGGTGTAAGGTGAAATCTCATATAATATAGGATAAACATGCTAAAATCTGTACACCTAAAGAAGCTAAGCAAGAAGGAGGACCCTGGATAAGACGATCAATCCTCACTCAGAAAGGCAAATGGGATAGACATTAGAAGAGGGAGAAAACAGGGAGGAGGACAGGAGCCTACCACAGAGGGTCTCTGAAAGACTCTACCCAGCAGGCTATCAAAGCAGATGATGAGACTCATAGCCAAACTTTGAGCAGAGTGCAGGTAATCATACGAAAGAAGGGGGAGTTAGTAAGACCTGGAGAGGACAGGAGCGCTACAAGGACCAAATATATCTGGGCACAGGGGTCTTGTCTGAGACTGATACTCCAACCTAGAACCATGCATGGAGATAACCTAGAACCACTGCACAGATGTAGCCCATGGCAGCTCAGGGTCCAGGTGTGTTCCCTAGTAAAGGGAGACAGGGAATGTCTCTGACATGAATTCAGTGGCTGGCTCTTTGATCACCTCCCTCTCGGGGTGGGGCAGCCTTACCATGCCACAGAGGACAATACAGCCAGTTCTGATGAGACCTGATAGGCATGGAAAGGGATGAGGACCTCCCCTATCGGTGGACTGGGGGAGGGGCATAGGAGGAGAAGAAGAAGGGAGGGGGGATTGGGAGGGGATGAGAGAGGGGCCTACAGTTGGGATACAAAGTGAATAAATTGTAATAAGTAAAAAAATATTAAAATAAAAAATAAAAGAAAAAGGTAAAGGTCTTATAGTTAAATACATTTAGTAAATGGTGCATACTGTATTTTTCTCTAACAAAATCTTATTGTACACTAACTCATGTGCACTGACATTTTAAAGGTTCTGAGAGGCCTGGAAGAAAAAAAATATGTAGTTTTAACTTATCAACTGTATAATGAATTACTCATTCTGTATATATTAATTAAATGCAGGAATTTAATATGGAAGCAGTTTTCTTTAACCAGCTCATTCCCCCAATGATTGACACAGTGGGACTATGATTTATTATTAAGCTATAGGCACCATACTGGGCAGACTCTGAACTAGTCTAATCCTACTACCCTTAAAATCCACGTAAATGCCAATCACTTGCCAATCTGATGCCTCCCTGGTGGCCTCTGCTCCATCAGTCTGTCCTGATGGCGCACTTCTGTTGACCTATTCCATCCTATCCAGCCACCAAGCGCCTCCCTTCTCCTCTTCTCTTCTCTCCTCTCCTCTCCTCTGCTCCCCTCCCCTCTCTCATTGACTGTACTCATACTTATATCAGTCATAAATTAGCATGGTAAGTTGTTAGTTCATGGAAAGGGAATAAAGTATAAATAAATAAAGTATAAAGTATAAATATACATGGAGTTGAGGTCATGAATAAAGGGTTTCTAAACAGTGGAAATTTTTATATAGGGTTTGCTTTGTGGGTATCCATTGGTAATAAAATTAAAGTAATAGGCCCTCTTCTTATTGTTATGATCTGCGTAGAACTATTTCTGCTAAATAATCACTGTTGACAGTTAGGGGAGAATTTTTACAAAATATTTATAACACAAAAGTGAGGTTTGTTTGTTTGTGCATGTACACATGTATGTACTTCTTTAATTTTATTCATTTTTTTACTGTTTTATTTTTGAGATAGGGTCTTATATAATCCAAGCTGTCCATGAGTCACTGATCCTCCTTCTTCTACCCTCCAAGTTCTGGAAATCCAGATGTGCACCACAATATTCACCCCCCCTTTATATATTTATTTTAAAATAGAAATCTTTGCTTTAAAAGTACATATCTGTTTTTATTTTATGTATGCATATTTTCTCTGTATCTGTGTGAGTGCATTGAGCGTATGCCCATAGCCTGTGGAGACTGAAGAACACATGGAACATACTAAGCCGAAGTTATATAGATGGTTGTGAAGTGCCCTGTGAGTCCTGAGAATCCAATCTAGGTCCTCTGGAAGAGCAGCAAGAGCTTGTACCCACTGAACCATTTCTCCAGCCCACATACATGGGATCCTACTATGCATGCTAGTCTAAAGCTTATTTTTACATTTAATAACATATTGTAGCTATATTTCTGTTTTAATACATTAAAGTTCCTCCTGATTGTATTTCTCATCATTTAAAATAATTGTATAATTTTTACATTTCTTTTTTTTATTTTTTGTTTTCATTATTAGTTACATTTTATTAACTCTGTATCCCAGCTGTATCCCGCTTCCTCATTCCTTCCCAATCCCACCCTCCCTCCCTCATCTCCTCCCTGCCCCTTTCCAAGTTCACTGATTGGGGAGACCTCCTCCCCTTTCATCTGACCCTGTTTTATCAGGTATCTTCAGAACTGGCTGCAAAGTCCACCTCTGTGGCCTAGCAGGACTGTTCCTCCCTTGGGGGGTGGGGAGGTGAAAGAGCCTGCCATTGAGTTCATGTCAGAAATAGTCCCTGTTCCCCTTACTAGGGAAAACCAATTGGTTACTGAGCTACCACGGGCTACATCTGAGCAGAGGTTATATCTATACATGGTCCTTGGTGGAGTATCAGTCTCAGAAAAGACCCCTGTGCCCAAATATATTTGGTCCTTGTGGAGCTCCTATCCTCTCGTCATACTAACTCCCCCTTCTTTCATATGATTCCCTGCACTCTGCCAAAGGTTTATGAGTCTTAGTATCTGCTTTGATACACTGCTAGGTAGAATCTTTTGAGGCCCTCTGCGGTAGGCTCCTGTCCTGTTACTTGTTTTCTCCTACTTCCCCTGTCCATCCCATTTGTCTTTCTAAGTGAGGATTGATCATCTTACCTGGGGTCTTCTTTCTTGTTTATCTTCTTTAGGTGTATAGATTTCATTATGTTTATATTATGACCTATAATATCTTATAGGTCTATATAAGTGAGTATATACCATGTGTGTCTTTCTCCTTCTGGGATACCTTACTCAGAATGATCTTTTTTGAAAATATGTTTCAGAATAATTTTTAAATGTCAGATTGCTGGGTCAGGAGTCTGTGCTTTAGAAATCTTAATGGTTATCATAAATTGTCATCTGAAAAAGCAGTACTAATTTAAATGCAAGAAATCTTTCTGTTATTTAACTACCAGTTTTTTCTACATTTACTAAAACCTAGAAGAGGGAAGTTTTATACTGATTGTTTGTATTTCTGTTTCAGAACAATGAGATGGTAGAGCTACAGAGAATACGAATGAAAGATGAAATCCGAGAATATAAATTCCGGGAGGCCCGACTCCTTCAGGACTATACAGAACTGGAAGAAGAAAATATTACATTGCAGAAACTAGTGTCCACATTAAAGCAGAACCAGGTGAGGCTTAAGATGTTTTAAAAAGTTATACCACAGGTGGTTTCACATTTTTTTAATAAATGAGGTTTACTATTTCTTTCTTTCTTTCTTTCTTTCTTTCTTTCTTTCTTTCTTTCTTTCTTTCTTTCTTTCTTTCTTTCTCTTTCTTTCTTTCTTTCTTTCTTTCTTTCTCTCTCTCTCTTTCTTTCTATCTTTCTTTCTTCCAAAAGGCTTATTTTTATTATTTTATGTGTGTGTGTGAGCCCACACAGCAGTGTGGGTGCTTTCAGGGGCCACAGGCTTTAAAATTTTTCTTTGAGTCTGAGTTAGAGAACTTGTGAGACACCTGTGCTGGCAACTGAAATCAGGTCCTCTGGAAGAACAGTATACATTCTTTACTGCTGAGCTATCTCTTCAGCTCTATCCTTTATTTCTTAAGAAAGAGCTTGTCATTTTTTTTAAATGCTCCTTTAATTTGTATACTGGAATTACTCAATCTTCCTATGTCAGCTAAAACGTATAGGAAAAAAATGCCATATTAGTATAGATACATTAGTCACTTTTCTGTTGCTGTGATAAGGCACTATGACCAACAAACCTTTTAAAAGAAAGGGTCTGTCGAGGGCTTACAATTTCAGAGGGTTAGAGCTCATGATCATTTCTGTTGTGAGCATGGCAGCAGGCAGGTAGGCATGGTACTGAAACAGTAGCTGAGATCTTATATCTTGATCCACAAGATAGAGCTAACTGGGAATATATGGACTTTTGAAACCCCAAAGCCCAACACCAGTGACTCATCTCTATCAACAAGGCCATACCTCATAATTCTTCTCAAATAGTTACACCAACTAGGGACCAAATACATGCACTTATGAAGGGTATTCTCATTCATAAGAGAATGAACCACTCATGCTAATTATTTATAGTGATAATTGTTCTACTTTAAATATATATTTGAATAAACATAAAAGAAAGCAACAATTCTCACTGCATACTACATTGCATAATTGCCTTCTAAACATATTCAGAGGGGGAAATTTTTGTGTTACACATCATTAGGAAATATTGTGGGCACTTTGACCAGTGAGCTGCTCAGTAGGTAAAAGTGTGTGCCATGGAAGCCTGGTGACCTGAGTCTAATTCCTAGAACTTTTGCAAAGGTAGAAATAGAAGACTGACCCCATAAACTTGTCCTCTGACCCCTATATGCACACTTTGGCGCTCTCTCTTTCTCTTTCTTTTGCGCTCTCTCTCTCTCTCTCTCTCTCTCACACACACACACACACACACAAACACAGACACACTTGAACACACACATTATGTGTATATAGAAATTAATAATAATTTTAAAAAGATTGCAGAGACTTAGTAGAAGAATAAATTGCTCTTTGAAAAGAATACATTATTGAGTGTTTTAAACAATACACCGCAGCTGTAACAATATTCAGATGATCTGTCCTCTAAAAAGCACTGGCACCTAGTCGGGGGCATCCAATTACTCAAATGACCCTAGCTGTGAACCAATTTCCAAAATTAACATATTTTTTTGTTTACATTTTGTATTTTAGTGGGCCCAAGAATATACATATTTTATTGTCCCTTCAGATACCAAATGTCTTCAAGGTAGAGAATAAAAAATGGTAGCCATAGACAATATAGCCTAGTTGACCTACAAAATGTTAATTATTTTACTTGGAGAGCAGTATTTAGAAATTGAATAAACAAAATTTTTTTAAATATTTAACTTCTCATTAAAAATAAAGAGAAAGAAAAGAAAGAATTTGGGCAATGTCAGACCATCTTTCCAAAGAACAAAAATCACTACTAGCTAAACAGTGATTATTCCTTTTTTATATCCTTGTACTGGTCAATGCTGTTCATAACCTTTCCACAACCCTGAATTACCTGGGTTTGTAACTCTGACCTGAACTCTTCAGCCTTCTCTGCCTAGCAAAATCCAACCACTTTTTTTTTTTTTTTTTTTTTTGCATTTGCTTAGTAGACTGCATTTCAACTACACTGGCACTTTCACCCCCTTACTCACTTTTAGAGGGCAGAATTAATTTCCTGATTATACAGATCTTGATTACTAGCAATAACATACAAGAAACTGAGAAAAAAAAAGCATTCATACTGAGACAGAAGAATTCTTAAAACCACACTTTAGAATATTCTACTCTCTACTAATGACTTAGAATCAAGGGAGCTTGGGGTTCAGGAGCCTTTATCCAATTACAGAAGAAGAATAGGGTTGCCCTTAGACTAGTTATAGAAAAGCTAGGATAGAAATGTACTTGGGACAACAGAGTCTGTTACATCACAATTTCTTTTACTGTGAAGTTATGATCTCTCCACATTCTTTTTTTTTTTTCCTTCTTCAAACCTTCCCTAGTATTTCATCAGATGGTGTCATGGTTTACATTTCCAGACATTAAGTTCATATACATTGTAGACTTCTTATTGTAATCTTTGTTAAAAATTGAGTTTTCTACCCAAATGGGACCTTGTTAAGGTCCATTCTTTTTAAAAAAAAATATTTATTTATTCACTTTGCACTCTGATTGAAGTCCCCATGCTCCCATATTGCTATGCTTATACGCTAATCTATTTAAACCTATGAGACAAGATCTTTTTTCATTTTTAATATGTTGTGTAACAATCCAATGTCAGACACCACTGGAAACAATATGATAATGAATTAGATGTTTAGGGCACTCTAGGAAGAAAAGAAAAGCAAGAAATGGAAAGGTTTTTTTTGGGGGGGTACCCTGGTCTCTATGGCAGGTAAGAGATAATGTAAATTGAACGTTTGCTGTATTTAACATCAACAAACATCTCATGTTGCTGACTCTAAAATCAGATATTCTTTCTTCTTGCTAATATACTTTTATTCTAATAGTTTAGATTTCCTCAAAGTGTATTGGAAATCAGAATTGTAAATGTATTTGCCTAGATTCATAAAGATACTCTTTTTTTTTATTAGTGAAGATTAAGTGAGGACCAAATAAGTTTCTTGTAATTTAATTTAAGCCTTTTTCACTTATAAAAGAACTCACAATTAAATGGGTTTTACAATAAAAAAAAAAATTGACTCTTAGATCAGAGATTGTAAAATTTTACCATAATTATGGACCAAATCTAGCCCATGAGTTATTTCTGTAATTAAATGTTATTAAAACACAAACACTACAGACTGGAGAGATGGCTCAGAGGTTAAGAGGATTGACTGCTCTTCCAAAGGTCCCAAGTTCAACTCCCAGCAACCACATGGTGGCTCACAACCATCTGTAATGAGATCTGGTGTCCTTTTGTGTCATGCAGGTGTACATGTAAGCAGAACTCTGTATAAATAATAAATGAATAAATTTAAAAAAAGAAAACAAAAAAACCCCACAAACACTAATTAATACGTTACTGCTTTGCCCATAGCTGATTTACATACTACACACCTCAGAGTTGGATAGTTGTTTAAGGAAGAGTATATAGTCTATAAAATCCAAAATATTTATCCATCTAGAGAATAAAGAGATACATAAATTTCTCTTAAAACTGAATTTTTTGTTTCAGTTAGCATCTGGGCTAATAAACACTCCCAAGTATGTTGACACTCTTCCAAGGATACCTAACAGTGGTCTAATTAACCCCTTAGGCAAATTACATACACTCCACACACTGTTCACTCCTGCCTGTGCTCAGGGCCAGAAGGACTGCAGAAATCAGTGGAAGAACCACCTGAAACATTTGTAATTTAAGTGAACTTGTCTCAAAGTCCTCTGTGTTCTTCATCACTACCCCACAATACCTATAAATATGTCCTTATATTTTATAAGTACCTGAGGGAAAATTACATATATAATTTCTAGACTCACTTATCCCACTAGGACTCACTTATCCCAGTCACATCAGATCTAAGTGTTTGGGGGTCTATCAGCCATTGCACAGGAAACTCAGTACATACAGCGCAATGGAATGAGGTGAATATACATGGGGGATCCTGGTAATCCTTTTTGATAGGCTGAATCAACTTCTTCCCCCACATTCCTAAGCAGACAACTTATTTCTACAACACTCAAAAGCTGGAGGGAGAAAGAAAGGGAAGAAGTAGAAGCTATATCAGAAATCAGTTTTCAGTTTTGTCAATCTGTGGATTTATTTTCCCTTTTAAGTTTATTTCTTCCCCTCCCATCTTTAACCCTTATTTCTATAAAAGTCAACAACATTTTAGACTAGAAAAAAAATAGAAGCATTCATATGGGTTGTTTCCACTTCAACAAAAGTCATACCTTATAGACAGATTCCCTTATCTCAAGAGTAAGCTCTGGTACATGGGTGATGAACCTGACTGGGTAATTATAATAGATTTAAACTAGAATAGACACTTTGTTTCAGAGCAAGCCCCTCTGAAAGAATCTGAACTTTCAGTTCACCTTTGCTGAGTTAGTTGGCACAAATAATTAATCTATAAATAAATTATCATTGTAGATTCAAGAATACAACTAGCAATAATTTAGAAAGCTCACAGGGCAAACCAACTAGGAAAACCAAACCATCTATTGTGGTTTGAATATGAATATCCCAAATAGGCTCATCTGTTTGAACACTTGATCACCAGCTAATGTTGCTATTTAGGATTAATTATTTTTTTTAGCTTTTTAAATCTTGCTCCCAAATATATTTTATTAAAATTTTGTTCTTATTTTGATTTTTTAAATGTTTGACTGGATACTAAAACTGCCTTTTCACTAATGAAATAAAACAGTGATGCTACGGGGGTCCTCTATGAGACTGTTTCTCCAACCAAGGACCATATATGGATACAACCTAGAACCCCTGATCAGATGTAGCCCATGGTGGCTCAGTATCCAAGTGAGTTTACCTAGTCAGGAACTGTTTCTGACATGAACTCAATGACTGGCTCCTTTATCTCCCCTAGGAACAGCCTTGCTAGGCCACAGAGGAGGACATGGCAGCCAGTCCTGAAGATAACCTGATAAGCTAGGGTCAGATGGAAGGGGAGGAAAACCTCCCCTAGCAGTGGACTTGGAAAGGGGCAGGGAGGAGTGAGGGAGGGAAGGTGGGGTTGGGAGGGAATGAGGGAGGGGGCTACGGCTGGGATACAAAGTAAATAACCTGTGATTAATATAAAAAAATAAAAATTAATAAAAAAAAACAGTGATGCTAAAAGTTTTTTTCTTGGATAGTGAATATTAAAAAATTTGATAAAATATTACCAAAATATTTTATTGTTGTTTACTAGGAAAACAATGCTGGTACAGTAGATACTTTTTTCTTTTTGTTAGGGGTTAAATTATATATTTTTATTGCTAAAAATCTATCTATCTATATGAGTGTTTGTATCAGTGTAATTTTTATTACCATAAGAATATAGTATCTACTTTTTATTATTTATTTTTTAGACTGTTATACTTTTCTTAAGTGATTAAGTCCACTAGAGTGTTTAATGGGAGTTTAATAAGGCTCACATTTTAGTTTTTCAATCTTTTTTAACATGTCTAACTTAGGTTGAATATGAAGGCTTAAAGCATGAAATTAAGCGATTTGAAGAAGAAACAGTGCTACTGAACAGCCAACTGGAAGATGCCATTCGACTGAAAGAGATTGCAGAGCATCAGTTGGAAGAAGCCCTTGAGACACTGAAAAATGAAAGAGAGCAAAAGAACAACTTGAGGAAGGAGCTGTCCCAGTACATCAGCCTTAGTGATAACCACATCAGCATCTCAGTAGATGGGCTCAAGTTTGCTGAGGATGGGAGTGAGCCAAACAATGATGACAAAATGAATGGGCATATCCACGGGCCTCTTGGGAAACTGAATGGCGACTATCGTACTCCCACCACCAGGAAAGGAGAGTCCCTGCACCCCGTGTCTGACTTATTCAGTGAACTGAACATTTCAGAAATTCAGAAATTGAAGCAGCAGCTTATTCAGGTAAAAGCTTCACAAATGAGTTTCTTGTTGATGGCATGCAGCATGATGGTTTTTGTTTTGTTTTTTAACTTGGTTCTGTGGGTAGAGGAAATGTATGCTTCCTTCTGCCTTGGGCATTGGGATTTTGAGGTGAGTTTACTTCCCTACTATGAAGCTCATTGATTAAAGGGAAAGTAGTATATAAATGTATCACTAGTCCCTGCTGTGCCTTTTTTAAAATAGGAAAGCAAAGCAAAAACTCAGCCATTATGGAAATACAATAAGTACTATCAATTGCTGGGAGCTGGTGGTAAGAATCTGGTTGAGCAGCTGGGTGGTGGTGGTACACACCTTTAATCTCAGCACTTGGGAGGCAGAGGCAGGCCTCTTTCTATGAGTTCGAGGCCAGCCTGGCCTACAGAGCAAGTTCTAGCGCAGCCAAGGCTACACAGGGAAACCCTGGCTTGAAAAACAAAACAAAGAAACAAAAAGAATCTGGCTGGGCACATGCCCTGTGGAGAATGAAGTGACAGTATTGCCTAAAGGCACGAGTTCAAGCCACCTGTTTGACATAGCAAGACCCTATCTAGTAAGAAAAAAAAAAGATTCTAAGTACTACAGTTTAACATTGTTTTCTAGAGCTGTGGAAACCTGCATAACTGTACATTGAGGTTCTGGTGGTAATGTCAGACCTGGAACTGTTGTGAAAAAAAGTGGGTTAGTAAATGTGATACTCTGTGCATGTCATAAAGCTGTGTAAACTCTAATTGTAGTCAAAAGTGTTACTAGCTTCTGAGGTGTGGGAGAGGCCACACTACCATTTTATATAACCAGCCAATACATAAACTACAGGAAATTTGTGAAACAGTAAGTAAGTGTATGTGGGGGTGCAATAAAGAAACTGCTGACATGGCTGCTTCATTGTATAGTCAAGGTTTTTTATTGTGAATAAGACAAAACAGAGAGAAAAATAAGAGACTGGACATAGCCAGCAGACTGGACATGACCAATGTTATCTGTGAGAGAAGAAAGAATAGAAAGCAAGAGAGCAAGAGGGTACAAGAGACAGAGGGAGTATGTGAGAGAAGAGCAGGTTATAAGGAGGGTGAATAGCTACAGGTGGGGGCAGGGGACCAGGATAGAGGCTAGCGTGGGCTTTGATATGGAACCACAGGTATATGTTAATGGAGCCATATGTCCTTTTGACCAGAGGTATGGGAACGGGTTTCACAAGGCCCTAAGGAATGCTGGCTGTTATCTAATGGCAAGGAATTCTCCTATAATCTAGGTTGAGCTCACATCTGGATATTGGACAGCCTGAGAGCTAACAGTAAATGTTTGAATCTATTTCTAAATTAGAAAGTGGCTTTTCCCCAGAGCTAATCTCAACGAATATTTTATTTTAATTATAACCTTCCTGTATTACAGAGTAAATTATTCAAATTTAGTCAGTCAATGTTAAACCTGAGAATTGTGAGGAGAAAAGACTAAATCCACAATTGTCCAATTAGAGCAAGCTGTATTTTGGGGGTACACCTGGGACTGGCCAGTATTGCTATCTCACTCTAAGTCTGGATTTAAGAACCCCTTCTGGCCTCTTGAAGTCCCTTTTATAGGAGCGAAAAGGGAAAGAGTAGGCTATTGTACATTGTTAGAAAGATATAATGAAAGGGAAGGATATACATCATGTGGATGGGGTCATAAGCAGTTTATATTGGATATAAGAAACAGGAACTTAATTACAAATAGAAACTTAACTTGCAAGGTTGTAACACAGGACAGTCAGGGACTTATTCACTGTTTTAACTACAAACAGATCCCCTAACTTTCAAGGTTATTTTTTTTTTTTCTGTTTTGGTTTTTCATTAAGTTCCAAGGTATACTATTCCTGTTTTGATCTCACATTATATACTTACATATTACAGAAGCATATTAAAAATACAGTAAGAGAACACATTTTAATCATCTAGAAATCTTGATAGCAGACCCTAAGAGTGGACAGCTCACTTAGTGAAATCTTTTATTTAACAAAAGAAGAGTTTTATGTTTTTATTTACTACATTGTTTGGGTTCTTTAGTATCCCCAAAGCCCCCCTATTTCAAATAGACTCTAATAGATGGCTTTAAGAGTAAAGTACCTTAATTAGTTTTATTAGAATGAAAATATGTAGATTCTGCTTAGAAGAACTAGCTGTATTGTGTATCTACTTAAAGGAGTCCTGTGTGCTTTTGCTGAAATTTCTGTCTTTGATAAATAGCCTGTCTAATTTTGTTTGTAGAGTATAAATAAGAGAAAACCCTTTGGGCTCCCCCACCCACTTTCTTTCTGACAGGGTCTCACTCTGTAACCCTTGACTGGTCTAGAAGACTGGCCTAGAGATCTGCCTGCCTCTGCTCTCAGACTGCTGGATTCAAGGCATGCACAATCATAGTTGGTTGACTTTAAAAAAATGTAAAATAATACCAGATATGTACTTTTATGTGTAGTATTGTAGTAGCAGCAGGCAGCTAGCAATAGTGGTTGCAGCTGCAAGCTGCTATGACCTTTGGACCATATCTTGTAGGATAATTAGAAATAAAACCTGTGAACTCAACCAACACTGCTTAATGGTAAGAGGAGAAACTTCGTAATGTGGAAGGCTTCTAAGTGATTACACCATTCAATTGGTAAAGGATAAGCATTTTTAAGTGATTATATGTTGGGGTTGGTTTTTCCTCCCAGCTCTAAGCTCCTGGAATAAAGACTCATAAGACCCAAAATATTATTTACAAATACCTTGGCCATACAGATAGGCTCTTCTCATAGCTTAAAATAGCCCATTTATATTCATCTACATTTTGCCACATGGCTGGTTACTTTTGCACAGTGCATCTGTCCTCCTCACATCTTGCCTGTCAAATATACTGTGCCTGCCATTCTCCTACTATCCTTTCCTGCCTCAGCTATATGCCATAGTTGTTTTTTTTTTTTAATTGATAGGTGTTACATCCATACAATACACAAGATATTCTCTCAACAGTTATAACCTTCAGTAGTGGAAAATGGATAAAAACATGACTTGTCTTCTCCTGATACACAAGATGACCAAATATTCTCAGCACTGGAGCTTCATCATAAGCTAGTATGAGTATCTAAAAGTCATCAAACAGAGGAGTCTTGATCTGTGATATTTCTGCAAGTAGAAGAGCTTTGATCAGTGGAATAATCTCTGATTGTTGTTAGAGGAGTTTCCAGGCTGCTGTTGGGGTCAGAGTCTTACTAGGGCTGACATCTGTGGTCTCTTAGTGTCTCTAAGATATCTGTTCAGACCCTTCTGGCTTTTAGAGTTTTTGATGAGAAGTCAGGTATAATTCTGATAGATTTGCTTTTATATGTGATTTAGCCTTTTTCCCTTGCAGCTTTTAATATTCTCTTTGTTCTGCAATTTAATGTTTTGATTATTATGTGATAGGTTGATTTTTTTTTCTGGTTCAATTTATTTGGTGTTCTATAAGCTTCTTGCATATTTATATATTTATAGGCCTCTCTCTCTTTAGGTTGGGGAAGTGTTTTTCTATGATTTTTTTTGAAAATATTTTCTGGGCCTTGGAGCTGGGAGCCGCCTTCTTCTTCTTCTTCTTCTTCTTCTTCTTCTTCTTCTTCTTCTTCTTCTTCTTCTTCTTCTTCTTCTTCTTCTATTCCTATCCTTTTTAGATTTTGTCTTTTCATAGTGGTTCAGATTTCTTGGATGTTCTATGTCAGGAGCTTTTCAGATTTAACTCTCTCTCTCTTTTTTTTTTGACTGATATAGCGATTTCTTCAATCTTATCTTCTACCTCTGAGATTTTCTCTTCCATCTCTTGTATTTTGTTGGTGATGCTTGTGTCTGTAGTTCTTGTCGTCTTCCCTAGGTTTCCCATCTTCAGGATTGTATCAGATTGTGTTTTTTTTTGTTTGTTTGTTTGTTTTGTTTTGTTTTGCTTCTAGCTCTAGTATTAGGTCTTGAATAGTTTTATTCATTTCCTTCTCCTGTGTGATTGTATTTTCCTGTATTTCTTTTTTTAAATTTTTTATTAATTACACTTTATTCATTTTGTACCCCCCCATCCATAAGCTCCTCCCTCTTCCCCTCCAGATCCCACCCTCCCTCCCCTTTCTGCATGCATGCCACTCCCCAAGTCCACTGATAGGGGAGGTTTTCCTCTTCTTTCTGATCTTAGTCTATCTGTTCTCATCAAAAGTGGCTGCATTGTCCTCTACTGTGGCCTGATAAGGCTGCTCCCCCCTCAGGGGGAAGTTCCTGTATTTCTTTAAGGGATTTGTTCAAGTCTTTCATCTGTTGGAATATATTTTTCCTGGTCTACCTTGAGAGCTTTATATTCTTCCTTTTAATGCCTCTATCATTTTCATAACTTGAGATTTAAAATCTTTTTTTTTTGTGATTCAGGTGTGATAGTATCTCCAGGGCTTGCTGTGGTAGGACCACTCCTTTCCAGTGGTGTCACATGGCCCTGAGTTTTCTTGCCTGTGTTCTTCCACTGGCCTGTAGCCATCTGCTTGTCTCTGGTGTTCTCAGTCCTGGTGGTTCCTATGCTAGGTTCACTGCTTGGTCCATGTGAGCCAAAGCACTGGGAAGCAGGTGGAAAACCCCCAAATTGAGAGCTGCTCAGGCACCCCATAGGCCTCCCCGGGATTGGGGACAATGGGACTTGGGTTTCAAGCCTAGATTGCCTCCTTTGGGTTCACTATCTCTGCTGGGCTCACCATTTCTGACTCAGGTGGGCCAGGCAGCTGAAGAGCAGGTGGAAGGACCTCCAAACCAACCTCTCATTCAGTTTTAAAGCTTAATCTCCTTCTTCCAAGAAGGAGAAAACAGGAAGCAGGACAGGAGCCTACCTCAGAAAGCCTCTGAAAGACTCTACCCAGCAGTGTATCAAAGCAGATGCTGAGACTCATAACCAAACTTTGGGCAGAGCACAGGGAATCTTAGGAAAAAAGGGGGAGATAGTAAGACCTGGAGGGAACAGGAGCTCCACAAGGA